GCTGTTACTGGGAGGTCGAGTGGGGTGGATTCGTTTCTATAGGGGTAACTTATAAAGGAATCAAAAGAAAGGGTGAGGATATTGTCTGCTGGCTTGGAGGAAGTAATATGTCCTGGACCTTGGTCTGCTCTGAAGACAAATACTCCGTCTAGGAAGTGAGGTAGAGGTTTCTCCCTCTGTCTCTCACAGAGTTGGAGTGTATCTGCGACTCGGATGCTGTATTCTGTTCCCTTCTACAGCGTGTCCTTCTTGACACAATGCTTTCCACCTCCACACCTTCCACTGCACATTCACCAACCTCTCTACCCTGCTTTTAGGTTTCTGGTTTAAGAGATAGTTTGCGCGCTCAGCATCTTTTGTGTAGCTGTAGGAAAGAGATTTACCTCTCTATGGGGACTCGTGCTAACCAACCACTGCTGACAGGCTGGTTGATACGTTTACAGAACATATATATTGTTTCGTGACATTTACCAACCATTCTGGGGGTTGGGGGCTTATGGTTAGAGAAAACAACAATAAAGGGGCCCACTAGGCAGTCCTTCATGTGACAAAATGTGATTAAAGGGCCCTCTAGGGTTTCTTCCAGGGACACAACACAGTAATACACTCTAGGGTGCCTGCAGTAGAGAAAATACAATAAATTCAGTGATTTTAGTACGAGGGCACTAAACTCTAACCCCTGGCTAAGCTTTTCACAGTAAATGGATCACAGTAATACGAATTATCAACAGTGGTTCACTTTAATGAATTAACAAACACGACTTTGTGCCACAAGCGTTGTTCTACAGCCTGTTGGCCATTTACTCAACTCTCAGATCTCTGTTCTTTAATGCTGATGTTGAATATTTGTTTTTTGTATGTGAATTTACCACAATTGGGTGCGTGGAAAGTGATGGCTGCACTAATGACTGGCCTCTTTATTTTGAGAGATTTGTTGTACTGTGGTGCTCTGATTTATGATCTCAAGGCTCTGTTATTATAAGGGCTTTTGTGCCAACTTATTGGACTCTTATACTGGTGTGCTGACAAACAGGCTGATGTACTGACTATAGACCCCCATAGGTGTTTAAGGAAATCATCAGGGTCTGCAACACTTTAAATTTTACGAATTAACACAAACTTTATTTACAAGATGAACATCCACATAACAACAATAAAGTCCCCTCAGAATAATAATAATAATAATAATAATAATAATAATAAATATATATTATTATTATTATTATTATTTATATAAAGGATAATTAAATACAAATTAAAATAATAATATATTACCAAATGCTGTATTATATTATTATATAAAGGATTTAATTAAAGTAATAAACCTAATAATAAATGACAAAAATGATCATATTATTTTATAAAATAAAAGGATGAATAAAAAAACTAATAATAATAAATTACAAACAGCATTATCATTATTAATAAACATAGAGGATAAAATACAAATCCAAATAATATAATAATAATACCATTATATCATATACAATAATACTATATTACAATTATTATATATATAATATATAATATTTAAGAGTAGTCTTAATGACGTTCCTCTTTTGATAAAGCTTATAGGTAGGACAGATCAGGTGAAGTCCTGAACCATCTCTTAGTTATGCTGCTATAGGCTAGACTATCGGGGGATCCTCCCATGGTGACTGAGCTCCTCTCTTCCTCTCCTCTCTCTGTCTGCACTCATTTCATGTCCCCATTAATGCATTGTTACTAAACTTCACTTCTTCCCCGGAGTTCTTGTGCTTTATCGTCTTGCAGTCTCTGGATCCTGGTGGAGCCTCCTGCCATAGGTCCTGGCTAGATGCCATTACTAAACGTTGTTGCTATGCACCTGTCTGTCTGTCTTCTGTTGTTCTTGGGGTTCTCTCTCTCTGTCTCTGTCTGTCTGTCTCTCTCTCTCTCTCTCTCTCTTCTCTCTCTCTCTCTCTCTCTCTCTCTCTCTCTCTCTGTCCTAGGTTTCTGCCTGTAACAGGCAGTTTTTCCTTGCCCCCGTCGCCACAGGTCTGCTCATTGGTGGTACTGTTGGGTCTCTGTAAATGTCTAAAAGGGGAGTTCGTCTAGACCTGCTCTATTGAAAAGTGTCCTGAGATAACTTCTGTTATGAAATTGGCGCTATACAAATAAAATTGAATTGAATTGAGAATGAACCATAAAATTGTGTTATGTTGTGTTTTTGTCTCATATTAAGTGATTCATGGTTTTTCTTAAATTATAAATAATACAACCAAGAGGATGATGGTCTAACGTAATTTATTAAATACAAACCCAGAAAACATTTCACTTCAGTAATTAACATGAAGACACCATCATATCAGAACAGAAAATCAACATGAATAAGAACATTCAGTACCACACACAAACACACAACCGTTTCAGTGAGGTTATTATACCAAACAATGTAAAATGATAGTTAGCTGGTAATGATTACAGTTCAGCCAAACATATATAGACTACGTGAATAATTTGGGCTGAATTATAAAACCCCAGTGTGACTGAGAGGGGGTCGCAAGCCCCTCACTGGGTCACCAGAGCAACGAGCCTTTAAAGGTTTGAAACTGACCTTTATAAAAGATGATTACTGCTCAACAGTTTGTCATTTTTTCCCCATGTTGAGCTGTTCTTTCAATCCGTTCCAGACTCCCCTGAGTTTACTCTTACTTGAGATAAGTAACTTATTTAATGTTAAGGAAAGGTAAATTAAGTAAATTGTACTTAAAACTAGTAAATGTATTAAATCATGTGCAGCATTTCTTTCTTTAAAAATGTGTTATTTATCAGAATAAAGTAACTTAAATTTGTCTTCTTTATACAAATGTTACTACTTAAAACTGAATTTACACCAATTTTCCTATTATTAAATTAATAATTACCTGACAAAAACAGCTGATATGTGGATTAAAAATATATATATTACAATTATTTGGTATGCTTAAAATGGTAGCCAATTAATTTGTGGGCTGACATTTTGTAAAAATTAAAGTAACTTTAAAGAAAATGAGAATTATCACCAAATTTAAATTACTTTGCACAACTTTAAGTGCAGTTTAAAACAACTGAGTTATTACGGAGGGATTAAGTTGTGTTTTATTTTATTAAGATATGCTGTTAGGCAAGTTAAATCTAAGACAATTTAAAGTGTTAATATAAAACATGGGAAGTAATTAAAATAAGATATTAAAGCAATAATAAAATTATAAATACAGATAAAAATACACAATAAAGGAAGTGTAGGTGGCGACAAACACCAGTTTTCTTTCACAGCGATTCACCTGTTCAAAACCGGAAATTTAGATTAATATTGACTTCACAATAAAAGGACTTCAGCTAGTGAATAATTGAGAATAATTTGGTTTCTAAACACATTTACATCAAATTTATTTAACAATGGAGTTTAATTGATTAAAATATCTATCTATCTATATCACTAAATATTTTACTGTATTTTTTAACTATATATTTAAATTAAATTATTATCTATAATGTCTCTTATAATGTTTAGCAACCATTCTTTATTATTTATTGATTTTATTCCTCAAACATGTTTACTAGTGAGTAAATGTGTCATTTCAGTTAAGCCTATCCATTCAATCACCTATGTAAGTTTATTTATGTATCTCCTTTAATTCAATTCCTGAAATATCTAAATCTTTTATTTTGAAGTGAAAGAGACACTAAAAATCCACAGTGACGTCATTAAGGTGTGTTTCCCTCACTGTGGTTGCTCACGAGCCAGAGGCTGAGGTACAAGTGTGTGTGTGTGTGGGGGGGGGGGAAGACCAGAACCAGAAACTTGCAGGTCAGTTTAAACCGGGTCCGAACCCAGAACCATGTCGCTGGACGGTGCGTTCACTGCCCTCCTTCTCCTCCTGGTCAGTGGAGTCTCTGCTGTGATTGGTAAGTTAAAACTCTTTATATTGGATCGATTAACTACTTAAATAATAGTAAAAAGTAAAGTTAGACTTTTTTAAATATATATTTTAAACAAATATAATAACTTGAGTAGAAGTTTTACTGCTCAGTACACTAAATAATATCAATAAATAAATAAAATTAAATGTAAAAATGTGTCTTGTTCAAGTTGTAGCTGCAGAATATATATATATATATTTCTAAAACATTAACATTTAATTTTAATTTAACCCTTTATTTAAACTGGTAATCTTGCAGTATAAACGTGTACAAACACACTTAATGCGTGTAAATGAAATGAATATAGCTCGTTATTTTACTTTATAAATGCTGCACACAAAATACACATATTAACATCTGTGAGATGAATTTAACAGAATATTGATTAGAGCTTTAGTTTATCGGACAGTAGTAAAGATATGTTTAAAAGTATTTAATAATTAACATGTGAAGCCTAAAGTCTCCTTTTGTCTTTTTTTCATAAACCGAACACTTTTTGAACTTGTAATGAACATTTGTGAGAATTTATAGATGTTATGAACTACTTTTTCTTAATTAATTGATCACTCATTAGTGAAAATAATCATTTAAAGCCATAAACATGAGAAGGCTGTGTTCAAGGCTCCAGATATCAATTTATATTATTTTGTTGTATCTGCTTCCTTATTGCCACCTGCCACCCGCGCTGAGGTGATGTAGGACAAAGGGCGAAGGATTAAAGGTGTGTTAGTGGCATTGTTTGATTAATTGCAGGAAAATGCCCCTAAAAACACTTTGATTTCTTTAGTACAGAACCAAATGTTCATCCCACATTTCCTGGAAATAATGAACATTTAGAGAGTAGTTTTCCCATCATGGTAACCACCTAAAATGGCCAAATATTCTGGAAATAATCTGTGTTAATCTGATGTTTTTATTGTATTTTAGCTCCTCACTCAGATTGCCTACGGAAACCTATATTAGAGGAAAAGTGTAGTGTTTCCCTCTAAACTAGCGTGTTCAGGTTACATGTCTGTTTATGGGTCTTTTTTATTCTTTTTCCTCCCTCCTCGCAGTTCTTCCTCCAACAAACCTGAAAGTGCGCTGCCAGAATCTCAAAGTCACTGTCAACTGGAAATACAGCGAGCTCCAACCACAAATCGTCTTCAGCATAAATATGAGCGGTTCCCACAGGTAAGATTCAACCACCCTGAAGCTGAAATAAGTAAATGTAATCTTTGGAATCAGAAGAAGAGTCCTTCCCAGATATGCGTTAAGAGATACATTCCTGAACAAAATCTTTAGACCGGTAGGAAAATTATAAGTATTTAGTAAGTTGTAAGTAGAGCTTGAAAATGCAAAAAGAAAAAACAGAAACAAGAGACAAAAACATAGAGTAGGCAATTTATTGAAAACTGCATTTAAACTCAAACAGGCTGTTCATCAGCTGATCAAACGTTTAGGACCATAGCCCAAAAAAAAACAACCTAAAATCAGAACTAAACTTGTCAAAAAAGGAGTTAGTAGCCCCACCGTTGTTGCTGATCACTTCAAAAATTTGTTTAGGCATGCTTGATGCGAGTGTTTCCAGGAGGATGGTGGGAACGTTGCTCCATGTGGTGAAGATGGCTTCACGACGTTCGTTTTTGTAAACTTCCCTTGCCATCCATCCCCAAACGTTCTCAATGGGATTTAGATCAGGGGAACACGCAGGATGGTCCAAAAGAGCGATGTTATTCTCTTTCGTCAGGCGGGCGTTGAGAACTGCAGCTTTGTCCTGTTGAAAGACCATCATCAACCCCACAGACGAGGGCCCTCAGTCAAGAGGCCAGCCGTGGTTTTTTCCCCCTGCAAAAAGCACAAAAGCTCCTCAGATCATGATGGAGCCTCCTCCACTGTGTTGCGTAGAAAACATCTCCAGTAGATCTCCTTGTCATGCCAGTACGGTTGGAAGCTATCAGGACCATCCAGGTTCCGTTTTTTCTCATCAGAGAATAAAACTTTCTTCCATTTTTCAATGTCCCCTGTTAGGTGCTCCCTTGCACAGTGCAAACGGGCAGGTTTGTGGCGTGTGAGGAGACGTGGCTTTTGAAGACATATTTTGTTCTTTAAGCCCTTCTGTCGCAGACGCCGTCTGATGGTTATTGGGCTACAGTCAGCATCAGTAAGGGCCTTAATTTGGGTCGAGAATCGACCTGTGTCTTCACAGAAAGCCCGTTGGATCCTCCGGCTCAGCGCAGGTGAAATTGTTTTGGGTCTACACTTGACTTTTTTGTCCCATAACCCTCAGGACCTTTTAAGAAATTTAAGATGACTGTCTTACTGCCTCCAACCGTTGCGAGAGGCCTTTCTTGTACATAGTCTGCATGGAACAATAATGCATTAAAATCCCTAAAACGTCATCTTCTCCTTCTACCTCATTAAAAACTGTTTGTGCACTTGTGGATCAAACTTGTGTAAGTTTTATACTTTAATGAGCTCTTCTACAACAAGAAAACAGATTTTTTTTTGAGTGGAAAGGGGGCTTTAAGTGCCTGATATCCAAACTATGTCTGTTGATCTGAGATCTAAACTTAAAAACTGAGCAGTTTGGTAGTTAGAAGCAGACGTTTGGTGGAAGATTAAAGAACACAAATTACAATGACTGATAACTTCTGAACTGGTTCTGATAAGCTTTAAAAATGCAGTCAAATTAAAATTGTTAATTAATTATGAAGTTATTTAGTGCTGATAGGATTAATAACAGAAAATGCATAGACTTAAATTAAGATACTGGAGGTAAAATTAGCATAAATCTGATGTTTTTTGTTTCTGAATGGTGTTTTTTCCTTTTTTTTTGCTGTATTGTTGCTCATGCAGGAAGGAGTTTAATACGACAGACTATAAATATGATCTGAGCGACTTCATCTGGGAATCTGAGTCGCACTACATGGGCTTATATTACGTCACTGTAACCGCCATACAGGAAGGAACCCGGTCTCAACCAGTGACATCTAAAACATTCACCTTTAACTCTCAAAAGACGGCCTCTATAACATGTAAGTAACGTGCAGACCTAAAGTTGTGTTTATTTCCCTGTAAATCAGAAGTACTAGAATGTGGTTGTAATTAAAGTTTCTTTTGCATGAATAAAACTTAGATTTCTCCTCGCAGGTGAATTATATTTCCCTCCCGTGGATCTGATTAAGAAGGATACAATGGCTGTGATTAGTTTCAGGAACCCCTTCAACTTCTACGGAGAACGGAACCTGGCCAAAAAGAAGGATTCTGCCTCATTCCACTTCAGTGTCAGAGTGTCTAATGTAAGTACAAATAAAGTTTTAAAGGTTTTAGAGCAGGATGCGCTGTGTATTTAAAAAGCGGCTTCCTTCCATATCGGCATCCTTACTCTGGACAGTCAGAACAAAATAAAAACAACAGGCTCCTCTTGTTTTTTCCTGTTTCTTGTACCCACCTTTCAAGTAATTTCCCCACGGGGATTATTAAAGTATTTCTGATTCTGATTCTGATTCTGATTGTCAGTGTGGGTGTGTTGTGATGGAGCGGTTGGAGTAATACTGCACGCTGGTTTATAATAGTAAAGAAAAAGAGAGTTTAGAGCTCTGGAAAGTCATTCAGAAGCTCGGTAGTAGGGCTCACGTTCACAAGGGTGGTTGTCCAAAGTGGCCTCACACAGACCTCAATGAGTCTGTGTAGAGTTCTCCTCCGTACACTTAGAGGAATAATAAATAATAACAGTAATTAAAGCTGCAAGCAGCGATGAATGTCCCTTCACTCAGAGATACTTCTCTGCCTCCGCTCCAAAATAATGGATGTCAAATGGTTCTTATAACATGCACATAAGCTAAGTAGCGACGTTTGATATTAATTATCTTCTGTGACTTTCAGGTGAAATTTGACAGTGAATGCAACTTGTATCAGGAAAAGTGCACACTGGACATCTTGTCTCCTGACGATGTGAAGTGCGTGGCGCTGAACGGATCGTTGTTTGATAGTAGTGGTGTCGGCCGAGTGAACATAACACAGAAGAAAGACGCCTGTATTACTCAATCTACCGGTAAGGTTTCCTCAAAGACTCTCACTGCACCAAAGCGCGTCTGTACGTGTTTGAAAGAATATTTAGCATTTTGACCTTTTTACAAAAAAGATCCTTTACAGCTTCTTAGAGGGACAAAGTCTGTGATGACCTTAAATGTCCGGCGCTGCAATAAAATTCAGCATTCCTGCATTCAAAACCTTACTTAAGTAAAAGTAAAATCAGCTAAATCTACTTAAAGCTGTGCCTCCAGGATTTCACAGGGGTTTTTGGGGGGGTTGTTGTGGTCTAAAAGGCCTGATTTCACTGCAGCTTTTCTAAAAATGTTATGGTTTTTAGAAAGAAAGTGAACATACTTGATATACTTCTAAACTACTAATACTAAAAATCAAAGGCAACTTGTTCCAGTGAGAATAAGTTCAGTGTTTTGCAAGCAGTAACTGCTCTGATTGAACAGAATTTATAGAGATTTGAAGATTGAATGTGTTAAAGGAGGTTAAAGTATTCAAATTCATTCTGCTGTAAAATGTTCCCTGTGTTTTACTATTATATTGATGTGTTTGGATGAATATTACTGCTGCATTAATGTGTAGATATTTAAGATTGAGCTCATATTAACTACTTTATATACTGTTGGGTTGTTTAATCTAAAGCAATGCATCATATTCTTTAAGATCTACATGTGTTTGTGCACCAGGGGGAAATCTCTGAATAATTACTATCCTTTGAACACTTCTTCTAAATCCTAAAATGTCCAGACAATGAAACTTAATCATTTTTTTGATTGCAGAGTTTCACATGGTAACACTTGTGATCATTCTGTCTGTCGTTGTTGTCGTACTCGTTGTGGTTACGATTATCATCTGTAAGGCGGAGCTTCCGGTAAGACTGGAAAACAACCCAAACATTGATAATCATGTTGCTTTAGTTGTTTTTAACCTTTTGTATAAAACCCTTTGTCCTCTCTGTCTTCTTGTGTGTGTTTCGGTGGAGGAGCAGGAAGACAGGCCCTGTTTCAGAGACAAGAACAGACTGCACTTTCTGCAGGTGGACGTGGACGATGAAGCCGGCGATGGAGCCGTGGACGATGGAGCCGTGGACGAGTGGAGTCCGTGGGACGATGGAGACGTGGGACGAAGGAGACCGTGGAAAGATGGAACCGCTGGGGCGAGGAGGGAGAAACGTGGGCCGATGGAGCGTGGGCGATGGACGACGTGGAGATGCGAGCCGTGGTACGATGGAGCCGTGGGAGATGGAGACGCTGAGGCTTACAGCGGGGGGTCAAACTACCTTCCGAGGACTCGATTTGGGATTTAAGTTTCGTTCAGTGATAGATATAGATATCCTGGTGTTCTGGTTTGAATAACAAATGGGCAGCGTTGTCGGTTTTGGTGTGTCGGGGCCTTTTAGAAAGCACACTTTATGATATCGTTGGTTTGCCTTTTAGCTGTTTTTGGAGACTGAAGGAGACTCTGGGACTAAAAAAAAAACAAAAAGCTGCAACACAAAGAGCATTCAAAAGACAATGTGGAGCGGCTTTTCTGAATTAACCAATAAGAAAACTCACATTTATTCCCCCTTTTTAAACATATTTTAAAGAAGATGCAGTAGTGAATGTGACCTTCCAGTCACCTTCCGTTTTCTGCCTGCCTACAGATGTTATCGTGCTGGATCCCCGACCTACAGCCAGTCTCAGCAACTGTGGCATTTTATCTGATGCAGATTATTGTTTGAGAACGGCTACTTCAAAACAAAACAGGGAGGGAAAAACAAATTAGTAATTGTATAAGCTTTTTATTTTTGTCTTGTTTGTATTGGCTGAACCTGTGGGTGACACGTGTATTCATGAAGAAAGTGATCCGTGCCTTATTTTTTAATCTTTGCAAGCATTTAGAGTTTTACTTTTTTTTTAAAGGGACGGTGTGATAAACGAGCATCTTCTCACTTGGTTTTATTTACCCATGTTTGGAGATGTCTGCCGACAATTTTGACAATAAATTAATTGTTTTTGAGTCATTTTTTAAGAAAAAAATGTCCAAATTCTTTTGATTTCAGCTTTTCAGATGTGAATATTTTCTTGTTTCCTTAGCCCTCTATGACAGTAAACTCAATGTGTTTGGGTTACAAGACATTTAAGGACATCACATTGGAATTCGGGAAACATCGACCAACATTTTTAACCAGTCTCTGACATTTTAAGGACCAAACACATAATAACAAAATAATAATCAGCAGTCTCCATTGGGACTCTTTCTTTCAAACATGGAAACTACATTAACACAAACATTAAACTCTATTGTTGCAGAATATCTCAAAATCTGGACAAATAAAACTACATGACGAAGAACCACTGAGGTAAAATATACGTGTGAGCTCAGACTCTTCCTTGTTTGGTTGAGTTATCACCTCTCACACAGTCTGGACTTTCCACTCCTGGCAGAACACGTTTTATAAATACCTTTGAACCTCTTGTAGAAAGTGTCACACCTACCCAATGCTACTGTTGGGCAACCGGCGACGTGACAAACTGGCTCTGTGGGTGACGCGTGGGAGTGTTTGAATTGCATACACTTCAGGGTTTGGTCAACATAACTTAAAGCTGTAAATTAGTTTAAGCTTGTGTTGTATAAGACTGGCTTTTATGCAGCTGATTACCGTAAAACTTCTAATAATGGCCCGGGCATTTATTTGCTTAAATCACTGAACTCCCTCCACCTTTATTGGACAGGCCTCTATTTGGGAGGCGTTTAATTCCTTTAGCACAAATCTCAGATGGAAAACCTCTCGAACTGTAATGCTTCTCTTGAGTTTCGTTAAGTAAATTTGACAACTTACAGTAAATTTAAGGTCAGGTTTTTTTGGAAGTTTTACGGTATATAATTACAATACATTTATTTTATAATTAAACACAAAACAGAGTTTATTTCTTTAACCGTACTGACCTCTACTTCTGCTTTGTAACACCAATATAAAGATGGTATTTTTTTAAATAAAATGGACTTAAACCAGGTTTTATTTCTTTGTCATTGGTATATATATATATATATATATATATATATAAATCTCCTCCACGGCGGACTCTTGTCTGCGTGAGAGGAAGGAATGTCAACATGTTGCTCTTCCAAACGTTGCCCGCTCAGTTGAAGATTAAACAAACACCAGTCTGATAGATGACAAAGTGGGGAAAGTACAGTGACACAGATACGATTCATGAGGAAGATCAACAATTTCTTACAAGATTTCTTCTTTTTCATTTAACAAAATAAGCCAAAGAAGTTTTTGAACATTAAAGAAATAATATCTTGTTTTGGGAAACGCGCTTATTTGCTTTCTGGCCCGAGAGTCATACAAGGTCGATACCACTCTTCTGAATGAAACTACACCAACAATCAATTACTTTATGGGGGTTGGATGCCCCCATAAAAAGGTATTTTACATTTGTGTCTTTGTAATGATTAACCCTTTCAGAAGGCTAAGGCTTGAAAGTGGTTTGAGATAGAGACAAAGTGTAAATGGGACAAATATTGAGAATGACCTAAAGT